CCATCAGTTATGATCATTTGCAGTCAGCCGCAAACATGAGATGAGAGCGAGCGCGGTTGGGGGAATGGCGCGTCACGTGTGCAACTGCATTCACCGTAAACCACATTTTTTTATAATTATGTATATATGTTCATGTTTATATTTTTATTTACGTGTATGTTAATTAATATAGAACGAAAGTTTTTTTTTTTTTTTTGAGCAAATGGGATGGTGCCCCCCTGGAAGTTGGTGCCCTACGCAAACTGCGTATATGGAGCGGCGGTACTGCATGTGACAATGTGATGCGTGCAAAACAAAACAGTAAAAAGCACATTTTGGCTATTTAATTTATGCAATGGTGAAAAAAAAATAGGCCTACATGGGGGAAAAAATGCGAAAAACGGTGTTCGGTATTCGGCCCAGTGTTTCATTTTGTTCGGCTTCGGCCAAGAATTTTTATTTTGGTGCATCCCTAGAACAAACAAACCAAAAAACACTAAGACATTTCTCAAAATATCTTCTTTTATGTTACACCAAAGAAAGCAAGTCATACAGGTTTGAAACGACACGAGGGTGAGTAAATGATGACACTTTTCATTTTGGGTTGAACTATCCTTTTAACTGGAGCATTTTATTACTCATCATTGTCATTTAAAAATTAAATGGAATAAAATGACAAAAAAAGCTTCCCAATCAATTTATCATAGACCCCATAATAAAATACAGTGGTTTTACAATTGTAAATGAGAGCTGGTATTTTGCAGAAATGTTTCCATGTAAATTATAACGAACACTGTAGATTGGTTTCCACGTCTCACTCAATGTGTGTGTGTGTGTGCGCACATTTGCAGAGGGTACATCGTGTTTCCGGGAAGTCAATGGCCAATTGCTCTTCTTTAGATTCCTGCACCATCCGATGATTCATACTAATTCATTTCCCCTTAAAAGGCTGCTGGATTGGATCTGAACCAGATGCTCTGGCATTAGTCAGAAACACGCCATCCGTGTCACTTCACATTCAAAGAAAAGATGAAGTCTAACCTCAAGAATCAATAGGAGCCCATTCAGGACATGGAGAGTTCGTGTCCAACATTTAATTATTAGATTCAAAACATGTCTATCTTTCTTGTGGTCCCACATTTGCTTATATAAAAAAAATTGAGATGGAATATGGGTAATGTTAGTGGCAGGATTCACAGTATGGTTAGGTTAAGGGTGGGTTTAGGATTAACAATGTAATTACAGATGTAACCACAGAAATTAATTACATTGAGGTATTTTTATATAAATACAACCTAGAACATGTGTACGCAGTAAGAGCACTGTATCAAACGATTAATTTAAATGTTAGTACATAGCAGTAAAAGACACTTAATATAAAGTGGGTCCAAATATATCGTGGAATAAAGAAATGCGAAATAAAGGAACACTTTGTCCTAGTAGAGGCGTCTTTTATCTCGTATAACAGCACACAGCTCGCGTCTCTTTGTGTTGTGAGTGCGCGCAGACTGCACGCGACGCAGATGGTATGTAAATAGCTCGTGCATACGTTAGCCAACTGAGCTAGCTCATCAATCAGAGGCATAAATCATTTATTTCACAAGCTCAAATCAAAGCGAGTCCCAACTCGGGACGCAGTGGACACATTGGCCAGAAAAACAACACGACTCCGTGGCACGGGACCCTGAAGTCTATACTGTGGACGTGGGAGATTTAAGTTTTTGTTAGTACGGCAGGACCGTTATGGTGGGATCCATATTAATAACTACATGCCGACTCACAAAGGGCCTCGCTGCTACCGCGCTAGCTATCGACGGCTAGCTAAGCGACGCTTAATAAATAAATTACACTTGCGAAGTGTAGAGCATGGAACGTGCACTCATATAATGACAAATATAATAAAAACAACTGCAATAATTAACTAAAAATCACTTTGCAAAGTCGAAATGTGCTTTTGTTTTACACAACAAGTTCACAACAAGAAATGAAGACATATAGAATATGCACAATGGCATTGCTGCGAGAGCGACAGCGCTTACCCATAATAAACAGCCCCATGCAACTCCAACGAACAATTGATGCTCCGCGTCAAGCTACGCGGCTACATGCTACACTGCGTCGCTGCGCTGCGCTTTGTTGTCTGCCCCGCTTGCGTGCGCCTCTCCGGCGCTTCAAACTTCACGTAAAGCTGATCTCAGGGTTTCGCTTACCAGTGCATGTCCACCGTTGTCTCTCTGTGTGTGTATTTTCCCCCCTCGATCGTTTCTTTTAACGTTCAGAGTCCAAACATTGTTCTCCTGCAGCTGCTGCGTTCCTCCATCTTGTCTGAGCGCGGGGAACTGTGGGTAGAGCCGACGGGTCCTGCGAGGAGACAGACGCTGTGATCCAGGGCATTGGAGCAGCGTCCGATAGTGAACTATCGCACAGAGGAACACACACTAGACCTAGTGGGCGCTATTGGGAAGATTTTCAACTCAGTTCACTTTTGCATTATAGATTGTATCAACGCACACATTATCCACTGTGGACAATTCTCATAAATGGGCTACTTTTTTGGCAACTTTATCACATCCGTGCATTCACAGAAGAAGACGTCTGCATAGACTGCTATTCATATTTTTCTCTTTGAAAATCTATTTCCCATCTTATCTCAGACTGTGTTTGCCTCTCAGAAATATGGTGGTATCCCGTTGGGTCTTCCAAAATTAGGACACAGCACATCCTACCGTGTAATATGGCTCTCAAATTAATTAATAGGATGGCTGTGACACAATTCATTAGGCTAAAGAAAAAAAAAAAATCCTCAAATAGCCTCTTAATTAACTAGACTATCCTAATTGCAGAAACGGTGACGCTAAGAAAAGATCCAGAGAGAAACAAAGGAGACAAAATAATAAAACAATACTAAACAAAATAAGCAAAAAAATATGTGTTGTGGAGAACAGAGGCATTGGTTTGTGAAAAACATTACCCAAATAGCTGACAATACCAGAACAATCTATCTCACAAAGAAAAAAAAATTGAGGTAGCAATTTCGTATTAATTCATTAATAAGGAAACATATGATTTTCAGAAAAACCTCAAAAAATAGGCCCAGGCATGAAGGTCCAGCCCTAAATCTAACCGTCAATAGGACATAAGCAGATTGTATGTAAACATACATATGAGATTTTAGATGAGTTTTGGTGAACTGACAGTTAGGATGAGGTTAGGAGTGGACCTTCATGCTTACTTTCCTAAACATTGTACATTTCCATACAAATCACCATACAAATGTATACAAAATCACCACTTTGTAAAATAGTAAATTTTTCTTATGAGATGGAGTTGGTTGAATTTCCTACAATAATTGTCTGTTTTATGGCCCATTTAGTCCAGACTGAGAGAAATAATGGACATGATGAATAGACTGACACATACACTTTTAAAAATAAAGGTTTTAAATGTTATATTATTATGATAGTCTTTACACTTAGGAAAAAAATAATCACTTTGGGTTCTCAGAACGACAGTAAACAGTTCTTTAATAAATTCTTAGAATATTATAATAGTCAAAAGAACCTTTATAAAGAAGCTTTTGTGCATTTAAGGTTCTTCATGGAACCATCAAAGCCAATAAAGAACCTTTATTTTTAAGTCTAAGATGATATATTTTATCCACTTTCCACAAAATGACAAACTATTACAGCCAATATGTGTGTTTCTTTGTTTTATAATTTGCTTTTTAAATGCCTGAAAAATGTATGCGGCATGACTGCATTTGTTGCAGTTTCAATATAGGGATAATAAATTCTTTCAATCTGAAAGTGTAGGATTTTTTTCTTCTTATTATGTGCGAGGAGAGGTGTTTATTTATTTCTCAATACCGGCGTCTATGAAATCTCTCCCATCTCTGGACTGGTTAAATATGCATTGAACATTCTTTTCAGGCGTTATAGTCTGACAATGTTCTGTCATAGAGAAATCTGTGTGTTCATATGTATTTAATACTTCTCTGTATTAAGTTCATTTGAAACATTATTATGACTAGAATCAGACAGTAGCTGCTATATAACCAACCACAACAAACTAATTATAGAAAGACCTTTAGGCTCCAGACTAATCTTATCACAGACTTATTGTTCTATTTTACATTAATTTATATGCAACAGAATTAAAAATAAAATTAAATATGCGATTATTACATATTTGATCAGAGGCTGTACTATGAGTAAAGTTTTTTTTTTTTTTTTTAAGATTTATTCATGGGCTTTTCATGTCTTTTATTTGGACAGGACAGTATAGAGCTGACAGGGAAGTATTGGGTCGAGAGAGGGGTGTGGGATCGGCAAAGGACCACGAGACGGGATTCGAACTCAGGTCGCCGCGAGCGCAGTTGCACTTGCTGCTGTATGTCGTTATTTTAATACAAATGTACTATTTTTTGCAGTCAAATGTTAAAGAAAATTATAATATTAAAAATAACGAGTGAAGACTAAACTAGTGCCTTTCTTAAAAATGGTTTCTTTGTACTCTGTGTTTGGCTGCATTGTGTTGTAATAATTAGATAAACTAAAGGCCAAGTAGAGCTGTGGGTGTGCAGTGTGTGTTTTTTTACCTTTATGAGTTTACTCTATTATTATTTTTTATTTATACATTATTATTATTTTTTTTTTTTATCAAATTCATAGCCCTATATGATATATACAAGAAATTGAATAATAGCAGCTTGCTTTATGTTTATCAAATGTTTCCACTGTTGTAGCTATAGCTGTTGAATCTTCTTTTTAATCTTGAACATACGGCTCATGACTGGTATTTAAGAAAACTTGACAGGTCATGTGATATTATGTAGATGTCATCAATTCTTAGAGCTCATTCATAATTCAAGAGCTAGCATGTATTAATGTGCTCACTGTTTCCATCTCTGCCTTTCTCATTCATTTTTTCCCCTTCTCATTCTTTTTTTCATTTCCAAATATGAAGGGCAGTGTAACTGCATCTGGTGTTCTAATACTATATTATGTTGTTTATTTATCATGGAGAAGAATATATATCAATCCCAAACTTCTATGCATCATCCACATGGGGCCAGTGAGAATCTGTTCCTGTCAATCACCTAGCATAAAGAGACCCTGATTCTTTTCCAGCACTGTTTTCTTCACTGTTGTTTAGTTATGTGTGCTTGAGCCTTGGCTATTGGATCACACTATATATAATCAAAGACATGTTGAAACGATCACATGAATCATACCCTCTATTATATTGTAGTTTGCACAGTAGTTGAAAATAAAACTAAGTATTCTATAACAATGTTCATGGACACTCATAATAAACCTCCATAATAAAAATACCAGACACTGCTCCATATTTCATTACTGCTATAACTCATTTTCCTGATAAATGTGTTTAATAATGTTTTTAATCTAAGACAGAGACAAATACAAATACTCAGCACCTCCCCTAACAAGAGATATGTTTTCCATCTGTGTTCAATATTCCCCAGAGCCAGAAGAGTTGTCATTATGAGGGACTATAATTATTTTTAATATAACGCAAAAAACATACTGGCCTGGTGGTCTGATGGCTGCCCGTGTATTTGAGATTCCCCAAAGGAGCAAACAGAGAGAGGAAGAGGATGCAGTTTCAAATTTCTCTGCAGTGAATAACTGCACAATAACCAAAAATAAGCATGCCATTAGACTGGTGGGAATATTATGTTCATGTGTCTCCACTGTTCAGAGCTATAAGTTACAGCTACTTATATAAAAAAAGACAGACAGTGCCTTTCTGTTAGCATTAACATCATCAGACTCAGCACTTTCTGACTAGGTGACTTTTTACACAATTCGTCAAAAGAGCACCATGTGAGGTAGGCCTAGTTCAAATTTAGGAAAGGCTTTCTGTTAAACTAAGCATGATGTTACTGATGGCATTGATTAGGCGCTTCAATCATTCTGTTGAACCCTTTTCATATAATCATCAAGAGAAAGAGCATTAAAAATAAATAAATAAATTTAGCTAAGGGTGCTATATGAGAATGAATGAATAAATTAATGACGAATGAATGAATAATTGTGACGTTATATATTGAAAATAAATGCAAATGTAAATGTATTATTATTATTATTAGTAGTAGTATTATTATGTGCATTTCTAATAAGAATAAAAATAAATGTAAGAAAATCAGAAAAGGATGCTAAATTTCTTAAAGTTATAAAGTTATAAAAAAATATTTATTAGAAGAGTAAAAGTGAGAAATAATCATTTTATTTGATTTATTTTTTCTTTTATTAAGACTCATGACTTCCAGATCTTTTTGTTTTGACTTGCTTTGAGTTGACTTATTATAGGATTAAAATCTTGAATGAATGAATGAATGAATGAATGAACGGCTATCGTTTGTTTTAGTGAATTGTGTACTCACGCATCTCAGTCAGCAGATGGCGCTGTTAGTTTGATCAATTGACTGCGGAATAGAGTTCAGTTTTGAAGGGAAATTGGTTTTATTTTTGGCTTTAATCACAGAAAAAGACACTTTAATTTTTCGCCTATATTAATACCAACATGACAATACAAAATAACGTGTCAGCTTTAACAGGACACCAAATTCGACTGAGTAGCGTATTGATTTCAACATTGGACTGGAAAACCAATCTTCTTCCCAATGCCGGGGAACACACACACACACGCGCGCGCATGTTTTCCAGTGTAGGAAATAGTATTTCGCTCACCCAAGCCCCCCTCCTCCCACCCACTCTCTCTTCTCTCTTATTCTCCCGTTCATGCCATATTATGTGCAGAGGAGCACAGAGAACACAACCCGTGCATTTCACACGGACATCCAGAGAAGAAGAGAGACTAGTACAGAGATGCTACAGTAAACCGACATTATAGTAGCCACGCGTCTTCCTGACTGCATTTACAGTCCAGATTTACACGAGGGGAAAAAGTTGTCAGAGAGACCTTTGCCCTGCCTCGCGACCTTTTTTCGTCTACTTTTGAAAGTGGAAAGGCACCAAAGCCATGCTACAGAGAAAGTAAGTTTCCTTTTTGTATTTTTAAGATAATAAACTCCCAAATGTGCTGAAGTTATGGCAGCGCTAAGGCGTAAATTTGGAGAGGACTACCAGGTGGTGAACACGAACAGAGGCGCGACTTTCCCGAGCGCGCCGGTCAAGAAGAAGCGCCAGCGCTTCGTGGACAAGAACGGACGCTGCAACGTCCAGCACGGGAATCTCGGCGGAGAGACCAGCCGCTATTTATCTGACCTATTCACTACGCTGGTGGACTTGAAGTGGCGCTGGAACCTTCTCATTTTCACCCTCACCTACACCATCGCCTGGCTGGTCATGGCCTCGATGTGGTGGATCATCGCGTATATAAGAGGGGACTTGAATCATGGCCATGACGCTTCGTACACTCCGTGCGTCGCCAATGTTTACAA